CGGGCAGAAATACAGCTCAGTGCTTTCATCTGAGTATATGATTAGTTTGGTTTATATGATTATGGCAAAGTCTAAAGGGCTATCTGCCTAAAAGGAGGGATGCCTTTCTGGAAGACTTTCTCAGAGAAACTGGTTTGTATACACGCTACACATGTGTAAAACTACAAAAACGCCCATGCAGCCAAACCGTTCACAAATTTCGAACCTCGGACCGAACTACCAGTGTTCAGCGACTTTACCGCTAGGCCGCTGGTGGGCTCTGAGTATATGAACAAAAGTCAGAACAGATTATCACTATCCCTGATGGAAACACTTTTTCCTTTTTAAATTTCACTTTTATTAAGTTATCAGTTTGAAAACAGCAGAAAAAGAAAAATTATATTTATAATATTATTTTCTTTGTTCGCGTGAACTAGATAAGGATCGCCCAATTTTTCCATGACAATACTTGCTTTTTCTTTGAACCTTCAGTAAATGAATTACAATGAAATCGATCTCTATTTCTATATGCAACAGGCGAAACGATACCTTAAATATTTAATCACGAAATTAAATGTTTTGATAGAAAATGATTTTAACCCTTTCCGGCACGCTACCTTTTAAAGTCGTAGTTTTGATAAAAAAAAAGGTAGGCAGTCTAATTAGGCCTAGAGGAGTACACAAGTAAAATTTTGTGAAGATAGCACTTATCGTTTTAATTCTGTGAGTGTGCCCAAAGTTGCACACTGGTTGAGTAGAGCTTCGAAAAGCGTGCTGAAAGGAGCATTGTTGTGAATGAACTAGCCGATGAGATGCGGAGAAACAAAGAATACAGAATCCAGTTGTCTAGATATCGTGAGGCCCGGGTTCTGGCACACCTAGGGTTCGCCGTTTGATTTCAGGCAAGATTTCAAGGTCAAAATTTAAAACTAATATAGAATCATGAGATTAGCATACAGATAAAAAATACCATAGAAATTTCTTTTCAAACAATTCCTTTTATACCCTAAAAATCTGGAAGATTTCTTTGAAAAATGAGGGTCTTAAAAAACTAAACATGGCAAAACTATATGGACTGGTTTGTGTTGAGCTGCCATCTACTATCAATAAAGAAGGTTCAGAGTAACCTATAGTAACTTATAAATCCTTTTTCATTCAATGTTTCTGTGCGTACAGAAGAAATTTTTAGGTGTGTCCACAGCGGACACACTGTGCCGCAAAGGGTGAAAGATATGGGAAAAACAAAGCAATAAAAAATTTATCACAAATCCACACGACAGGTCTTTCGGCTCCCTATTTATGTAAAGAGTGTCCCCATTCCGCAAAGACACTAGACGTTTACTAGCGTTCATGCTTTCTCTGGGATCCAAGCCCGGGTCCTTCCACACGACAGTTACTAACCACTATCCTGTGTAGGCGGTTCGAATTCAGTGTGTTTATTATATGCAATTGAATGCGCTTCAAATGAAAAGGAGATTAAAATTCACGATTTAGATTTAAAAAAAATCTCACAAACTCCAGCTTTAACATTTTTACGTCAAACCCAAATACATATTCACACTCAAATATATGTTTACAATGTAACTTATGTGTTCCTCAATTATGCTACTATGTACTACTACTTGTAACTATAATTTGCCTTGTAGCGCTTTTAAAATTAAATGCGTTTTTGATCAACTTGTTAAGCAAAAAACACATCTATGTTGGCACATTTAATTAGCGGACTCGGAGTGCAGTTAATCAATTATTTTAAATATGCAAGAAGGGAAGAAAATGAACAGTGACTTCCCTCCTCAAAAATAAGGGATAATTGACAAGAAGCAGCGACACTACTCGAATAATAAACACTACACTGGATGCTTTCCCAAAATTACTCACTAAAAAAAAAGTTTAAAGCGAAAGTAACACACAGAAATTGTCTGCCTATTGAAAAAAATTCGATCTTCATATTTAATTAAGAAATATCTTGCTAGGAGTCATATTAATCACAAAAAATATTAGACAGGATCTTTTATTTAATTCCGCTTTATGTGTTTCTACTTAACGCGAAGTGATTAAGATTCCAAAGCAGGAGAAAAAGTTTTAAATGCACTTCTTTTTCTGGTCGAATCAAAAATATTTTGTAATCAGTATCCTACAAAATTATCGACGAATGTAAAAGTTGTAGGATTTTCTATAACACTTTTAAGATTACAAAAATGATTTGATATCAGTTATTTCAGCCGTGGGTATATTAATGTTTTAATGTATTCTTAAATGAGAAGTGTGCTTTTAATAGAATATCGAAAGACTTAAATCCAATTGTCAAGCGGTTTTAATGAGAAGACAACGGAACAAAAATAACTATTTCGCTTTTGCAGTTATATATTCCTCCTCAAATGTTTTTTTGGAAAATCTGAAATAAATAGTATATGAGTAAAACTTTTAACTTCTCCAATCCTAATGTGTTTTATAATCATTAATTATCAAAAACTATAAGTTATTTCAAATTAATTTAGCTGTCAGAAAGTATAAGTAATTAATACAGTACGTTTTTCTTTAGAATATGATATTTATAATTAATAACATGAACATTTTTTGACTAGCAGAAACATCTCCCTATAACGGTAAACATACTGTAAGCATTGAATTTAATTGCATATAATTAATTTATGAATTAAGCACAGATAATTGTTACATGTAAATATTACAATATCATCATAGACGTAATGAATAATTCACTGAGAAAAGTTTAAAAATATTGAGCTTTGAATGTAGTTTATTTACTAATGTTATAAATCATAAATACTTTAAAGGAAAAAATAAAAAAAATTATCTTTGACATCTTTCAAAAGAACTTTTTTTCTTAAATTACATTATTTGTTTCTTTAACTGTGTTATTTACATCTTTGGTTATTTCTCTGCTATTTTAATTCATGAATTCCTAAGCACAAATTTTAATATAATACAAGTGCAATTAAACTTGACAAAATACATTTCTTGAATAAGCTGCAGTTGATTGCAGCGTAACGCAATTGAAATTTAACTCCAAGCGAGACATTAAATTTATTAAAACATTACATAACCAACAGTATATAGCAAAATAATATTAAAAAAAAACATTTATCTTGCTTCTAATAGCAGTATACTTTCACTTTCATATTATATTGAGGAGAATGTTACTCCTTTAAGAGTTTAAATCGACAAATCTACTAAATTGGCGGAACCCAAATCTTTCTATTCTATCTAGCAAGATTAGAAACTTTCGAATAAATGGAAAATGCGTTATGCCTCTCCGTGGCAGAACTTTCGATTGCTTATCGAAACAGTAATAACATTTAATTAACAATTCCAGAATCATTAATGTAAATGATATTAACCTGAATGAATGGTTATTGTAATGGATCATTAGTATGAAGGCAAATAACAGTAAAATAAATAATGATATTATTTAAGTGAGGGTGTTTAAGTAAAGTTTGTTTCTTAGAAATCAGAATATGTTATTATGCGCATGCGCATTAGCATGTCATGTTTCCGGTATTATTATGTCATATCTGGGATGCAAAGAAAACATAAGAAAGCTAGTTTCGCAATAACCTCAGTTTCAGCTGGAATTCAAACTCGGAGAATTTTTGTTTCGGAGAGAGTGTGCTGTCATTGTCTGAATTATCCAAGATTGGCAAAAGTAACTTTTTAAGGGTAGTTTGCTTGAGGATGAGGCTTGGAGATTTGACTTGACTAATTTTAGAAGATTTAAGTGGATGCACTTTTTTCTGTTGTATTTCTACCAACTTCAACGACGATGGACAGGCCTCTGGATCGAACTCCCGACCTGTGGTGCAGCTGCGCGATGCGCCAACCACTTTGCCACCGGGCAGTCAAAATTTGGTTATAACTTATTGAAAATTATTAAAAAATTGTACAAAAGCGTCATTTTACATGAACTACTATGTTTGTTAGTTCATTAGTCTCAAAATATTGAATTGAAAGTTAAATATTTGAAATTACAAATGATGGAAAACGATGTGTTCCGCCTGTTTTGTATACATGCTGTATGATTACCTGTGAGAGAAATGGACATGTCCCAACCTGTATTTTATAGAATTTAGTAAACTGTTAATTAGATTTCCTGAAATTTTAGTATAATTGCATGTCCCTTTTCTGAAAGTGAGTTTTTCAGATTCTGATGCGTACAGGGAGGCATTTAGCAAATTGCATTTGGGTGGCTTATGACATCCCACACATGCCCAGCCGGATTTAAGTCTAGGGACTAAGTTGATGATCTGAGCTAAAACAGCAACTGAGTAACTATTATTAAGAAGTGGTAAGGCAACAAGAATCAGCGCAATATTCATACATTTGCAGGACTAGTTTCAAAGGTTAAATATAGAACACTCTGCTTCAGCTGCAAGAGGGAAAATCACGAAAGAGAAGCCTGTGTTCAAGCGATAGCAACGAGAGGCAGTTAGTAAAGCTACTGGCACTATCCACTGATAAAAAATGAAAATAGGCAAGGAGACAAACACTTGCGAACATCCAAGTTTTTTTCCGAGATTCGAACCCGGGTTCAACGACAGTCGGCATCCCTAACCAATCAGGGTGTTTTAAACTAACAGAAAGACGAACTTTTAGTACTATTAGAATAATGTATACATTATGCAGAACATAATAAAATTCAGCATAAAACATTCAATCGTAGGTGGCGCACAGACGAATATTCTGCAAAAAAAAAATGTAAAATGCGACTTAAAAAACTTTTTTATTAATTTGAATTAATTATTCAAATGTTTACAAATTTTTCAGTTAGGTTCCTCATTAAGTTCCATAAAGATGAACTATTATAATTTATAGCAATTAGATACACTATTTAAATTAAAAAAAAGGTATTAGTGTCTCCCATAAATATATCGCTGTTTCGTTGATAAATGCCCTAGTAGCGTTAACATACAAGAAGAAAAGAATTAAGAAATTAAAGTAAAAACATTTCTAACATCAATATAATGATAGTACTAAGGATGATAGCCGAAAATTGGAGACTTTACCTGCTGTGCCATTTTCTGTGACATTTCCTGTATAAATGGCATAAGGGAAGAAAGGTGCGTTATCATTTATGTCCTTTAAGTTGACCAGAACATCTGCGTATCCTACGAGACCGTTACCACCTTCGTCTTCTGCAAAAACTGTAAACCGCCATTGAGATCGACCGTGAGGCAGGTCTCTGTCGAGCGGCTTTAGAACATATATCTCGCCTGTCGTGGTGTTGATGGCGAACTTGCTGTTGGCCGGATCCTGATCGTCCACTCCCTGACCCGTCAAGAAGTAGACGATGTCCGGCTTCCTGTCCCGGTCTCCATCGGTCGCTGTCACCTATAATAGTATCTAATATCAGAAATATAATACAGAAAAGGTGTGCTAAATAGAACAATCATGCAGCATTATTGCTAACTAAATAGGGTTCAAACTAAGCATGCGTTTCTGGGAGACATTTATTTTGAAACTAGAATTTACCACGACGCTTCTAAGTGAAATGTACATTTTATTTTACATTACTTTTAGTCACCTTCAGTAAAAATCAGAAACTGTATAAGGTATTTCTCTCACTTCCCTAGCGTCCTTCGTGGTGTAGTGGTTCTGCACGCTGAGCCGGTATTCCAGAGGTCCGTGGTTCGATTCCCGGCGAAGGCGGTTGCTTCTTTTTCATCTCTCTGGCTTCCAAAAAAATCCTAATGTCTCTACAGTGGCGCCCGAACTAAAAGGTTTGTGGATGATGATTCTCCGCACCCAGGATTTGGCGACTAGGTCTCCTAAAACCCTAGTCGCCCTTTAAAAAGGGGAGTATATAAGGTATTTCTCTCACTTCTCTAGCGTCCTTCGTGGTGTAGTGGTTCTGCACGCTGGGCCGGTATTCCAGAGGTCCATGGTTCGATTCCCGGCGAAGGCGGTTGCTTCTTTTTCATCTCTCTGGCTTCCAAAAAAAAATCCTAATGTCTCTACAACTGAATCTATTTATACTAGATTTAGAGCCTCGGAAAATTTAGTAAAGAATTAAATGCTTTAATTAAAAAAAATAATATACACTGCCTCTTGCGTTGTTTTCATCAACATATATGCTTTACAGTGTATTTACGAAAAGCTCACTGGTTAAGTAAACACCGCTGATGGATTATTTTACAAAACTTTACATTCAGAGTGATTCGACGCAAAATCGCAAAACAAAAGCAATAGTCCCTCAGGAACAAAGTAATTTGGAGTAATAAAAAATCATGTACTGTATTACTTTGGTCCTAGAATTTAAGCACAGTAGGATTTCAAAATTAGGAAATTGGAAAAATAATAAAATATAAAAATTATTATAATGAATATCGAATAACGAGAAATATTTTTATATTTTTAAATTAGGTATTTAGATAAATATAATAAGCTATCTAATTTATTGAGAAATAATATGTTAAAGCATCCGCTTTCTATTTAAAGCACACTAAAATTTTATGTCTTAAAAATCTGAATAAAAAGCGTAACTTCAATTTTAAGTAACACAGTATATAAATTCTGATACTTATAGTTACGTACTTACATATACAGAAATGTGCGTATGTAATTAATTTATACTAGATTATAATAATTTATAACAGTTTATACGTAAGTTGTAATAATTTATCTGAATGAGGTTAAACTAATATACGATTCACATACCATTGCTGGATAGTTAAGTATTCAACATCCTACAACGATTTTAGAATAAGGAACTCTTCAGCAATTTTAGGATTAAATAAACGGATATAGATATATTCATCACTCATCGAGATTTAACCTTGAAATAGACACAAGAAAGTAAAATCTCCAAATTATGCTTCTGAATAAATAAATTTGCACATATTTAAAGAGTTTAAGTAGAATGTATTAAAGGATGACATATGAAATGTTTGAAACCAATTTCCTTGGAGGTCCAAAATATTTGCTTTATTTTAAATGTCTTTTCATTTTTGCTTATATTCTAAATTTAATTAAAATTTAATTAAAATTTAATTTTAATTTTAGACAAATTATGTAAAGCCCGCTTTGCTGTGAATTATTTGCATAGATCATATTCATTAAATCTGGGATAAATAATTTAATTTACGCTTAATCGGGGCTTAAGCATTTAAAAAATTTTTACTAATCGTGATTATTTAAAATTCTAGCAATTTATAAAACACCACAGAAATTTCGAAAGCCTTTTAATACTATGCGGATTTCATTTTCTTGGTCTAAAATGTCAAAGGAAAACTTTCTATGTTGAAATGATGATAAACATTTCAAACACTGTGGCGTAAGGTCCTCGTAGACTTTACATAGCCATTAGAACATGTATTCTTATTATCAACCAAATTAATAGTTATAATAGTTAGTATAAATCGAAATGGATGTATTACAAATAGCTTTGGCTTTTCATTATGCACTCAAAAGGTAATAAAAATCATGATTTTTCTTAATACAGTTCTTCGCCAAGTTTGGTAATGCTTTTTAAAAATAATACATGTTATTAAATTTAATAATTTAGGTATCATACAAAACAATTCGTGACACTAGTACTCAAATTTTTGTTTCTATAAATGTAATAAATATATAAGCACTATGAAATCAGCAGTACATTTTCGGAAAATAATATTATTTTAAGAGGCTACTTTCTTATTACATGTGAATTAAAAGAATTTGAAAGCAGTGTGGTTTATTTACTGGTGGGTAATGTTATATCCAATTGTCGCATTTTAGTACAAAACTAGGGTTAAAACAATAGGATCGAAGTTTTTTTCTTAAGATATCGGATGCTTTTACTCTCATCAGCTTTTTTTTCTCCCTCCTTCCAGCATGTCTTAGTGGTGTAACGGTAGCACTGTCGGCGCGTAATCGAGAGGTCCAGGTTCGAATCCCGGCGTGAACATTGCCCATTTTTCATGTCTCCTGCTTCAAAAATACGTAATGTCTCTATAGTGGCACCCGAACTAAAAACGTGGTGGATGATGATTCTTTAGTACCAGAATTTGGCGACTGGGGATTAGGAGATCCAGTCGCTCTTTAAAAGGGGGAGTATATAAGGTAATGTAATGTAATACACGAGTGTGCTGCAACCCTCCTGACCGATAATAATCAGCATATAACGGGAACATTTTAAATTTTATCGATATTTAAAGAATTGTGTTTGAAAGATGTCTGCGAATATATAGTGCATTGAATTTAAAACCTTATCCTCTGTGCTGAAGACCAACTATAGTTAATTTTACAAGTATTAACTCATAAATAACTTGATATTTATTTTGATGGAATATAATTTTGTACTCTCCAAATAGTCTTTACAAACTAATAATGAGTAAATAATAAGAAGGGTATTTTTGAAAGCTGAAATAATAGATCTTATACATTCTACGAAAAGAAGAAAATGTCATTTGTAGGTTACATGACGGGCTTTGATAATGAAAAAACATATATTTTTATTTGAGTATCAGATCATTATCAGAAATTTATGGCATATGTTAGAGCACGTCTGTCTGGATCAGTCAGTTTTTATATGTGACGGTGGATGTGTTTCTTTGAAGAATGTGCATTCTTTCAAGAATGTGCAATTGGAAAAAGGGAGAAAAATTAAATTCGTAAGCATTCGATCAGTAAAGGAAAAAAAAAAGACACAGAGGATAAATAAAAAAGCATTTTAGGAGACAAATTATTTCACTTTTTCTAAACTTTCAAAGGGAAACACTCTCGAAGCATAGAAAATCCAATGAATAGAACATCATACCCCGAAAATAAATTTTTAAGAAGGAAATTAAAGCTGACAAAATCCGTTTTCTTTCTCTTTTTAAATATTCTTCCCTCTTTTTCAATACATGAAGCCTTTTTCTAAATTTCCAACTCATATCTGAGATTTTCTGTGAACAATAAAAAGAGTTCTGAGAAAGAAATTGTACTTTTTGTAATACGATTTACACGAGCTTTAAATTATGAATCAAATATAAGTAGTAATTTTTTACTTATGAAACGCATTTGATGAAATCTGTAAAAACAGAAAAACTCGTTTTTCTGCTTTATTGTTACAGACAAAAGGTAAATATTCAAAAAAAAAAAAAAAAAAAGATATTGCACTGCTAGTTATTGAAAGGGATTAACATATAGGGTGTCTGTAGTTAAGAACCCAACTTCAAAACTGTCTACAAGCAAAACCAGTGATCAGAAAATTGTGAAACTTTGTTGCGGACTTAATGAAGCGGTGAGAATTTCTTTTAAGGAAAAAATAGTTACAAATAGTCTCACCAGAGAGCATTATATTAACAAATTATACATTTAGCCATATCTTTACTACGGTTCTACAATTTTACGAACTTTGTTACAACAAAACATATTCCACATGATGGCCATTATTTTCAGCTACTATCTGAAATCGCAACATGACATGTTCCACAACTTATCGAAGTGTGTTCTGGGAAATGTTCAGGAAGTGGCGTAAAATGCTGACTTTAAGATCAGGTTAAGTTCTTGGATTTTCAGAACTTACCAAATGTTTGAAATGTGACCAAAGCCCAAAATCGCATAGATTGAGGTCTAGGGATCGGGAGGCCATACATTACGAAAGTACCGACTAATGGCACGTTCTTCTGTAAAATGACGTTTAAGAATATTCGTAACATACCGTGCAATCTGTGGAGGAGCTTCATCTTGCAAAAAGAATGTGCGTGCAAGGCACTGATTTCCTTCTCTAACAGCGATTTGTCTGTTCAGAGGATAATCCAAGGCCATTTTGAGTTGACTTCAAAGCTAGCGAAGCGCTGCTTCTGCAGAAACAGGTTCTCTTCCTCTTCCAATATGAACAGAAAACGATCCTCTTTCTTCAAATTTCATTTTCATTTGCCGAAGATTTTTAACGTTCATTAGACCTGACAGAATCATCTTCAAAGCCCGAAAATACGGTAGAGCAGCTTATGCAGAATTAATGTTTCGGTAAAACAATTTTACTAACAAAGCACTATAAGGTGTTTCTCCCACTTTCCTAGCGTGCCTTCGTGGTGTAGTGGTTCTGCACACTGGGCCGGTATTCCAGAGGCCCGCGGTTCGATTCCCGGCGAAGGCGGTTGCTACTTTTTCATCTCTCTGGCCCCACCAGCGGCCGAGCGGTAACGTCGCTGAACACTGGTAGTTCGGTCTGAGGTTCGAATCCCGCGAACGGGTTGGCTGCATGGGCGTTTTCGTGGTTTTTCCCATGTGTAACGTGTATACGAGCCAGTTTCCCTTAAAAAGTTCTCCACGAAGGCATCCCTCCCTTAAGGCAGATAGCCCTCGAGTGCTTTCCTGATATCTAATAAACCAAACCAAACCAAAACCATCTCTCTGGCTTCCAA